ACACCACGGGTTCATGAAGAGCCGCTCGTGCATCACCAACCTGCCGTTGATGCGGCAGGAGTGGTTGCAAGCGTTGAATCGGGGAACTCAGTGGGTGTTATCTACATTGATTTCAGTAAAGCTTTCGATAATGTGATCCATGAAGTCCTGCTCCACAATCTGAGGATGTGTGGTGTTGATGGCGCACAACACCATGGGTCAGTGCCTTTCTCATTGGTATAAAATTGCGAGTACAGGCTAATGACTACCCAACGGACTGGTACCCCTCCATTAGCGGTGTACCCCAGAGAACAGTGCTGGGGCCCATTCTTTTCCTGATCCACATCAACAACGTACCTCAGATTCTTCCGTCGCCCTACGCATTATTTACAGATGACCTGAAGATTTTGAGGATTATTGTTTCTCTTGGCCACTCTGACGTCCTTCATCATTACTTCGACTGCTTATCCCTTTCAACCCGGCCATGTCCTCGTTTATAAGCCTGGGGAGGAATGGTAATGGGCGTACGTACACCCTGACCGGTCACCCGCTGCATCCCACCAGTTCCGTAAATTAACTAGGCGTACTCCCACGCTGTGATCTAAAATCTTTTGATAACACGCAGACTGTACGCAAACGGACTACGCCTGCTTTGGGTACTTAGACGCAGCTTCTGCATTTGGTCTGAAGAGATTGCCACTCGTCTGTTCTCTTCCATGATAAGACCGGTGCTTAAGTGCGGCTCACGCGCCTATTGTCAGATCACAGTAGGTGAGATGCACAAACTGGAACGAGTCCAGCACATAGCTACCTGGCTCATCTCCAGTTTACGAGTATGTCGTATGAGGACCGATGCAGGAAACTAGGGCTTTATACTCTGTCATCTCGTCGGCTTCGAGTTGATCATACTATGATGCACCGGATACTGCACCTGGGCCACTTCCCTCTGTTGAGGCCGCTGCTGCACCTTCGCGCATCAAGCAACACATGCGGACACCGGTGCAAACTAGTGGTACCGGATTTAAAGCGCATCGCTTACTGTCTAAGCTTCGAGCGTCGAGTGGTGAAGTATTGGAACAAGTTGCCGGAGACAATAATCGAGGCGAAATCGGTGTCGGATTTTAATGGCTTCATTGATGCCCATGTTACGTACTACAGGTATAAGGAGCGTATCGCACCAGGATAAGATCTAGTGCAGCTACAATATGCTGCCACTGCGCAGGAATCAACGACGTTATTCCGCGCATGTGCGCGATTCACCTACGATGGCACAACATAGATTTTTCTCTTATCGCTCTCAATTCTCAGTATTCACAGTTGGTCTTCAATCCTCGGAAAACAATGATTATAGAGTGTCCGTATTTATGGCACTTTATCCCCTCTCATATGGTGGTTCTTATACCTTAGTGGGACACTCGAAAACTATGGGCACCCCCGTTTCATTGCCACCTTTCTCGATTAGCATTTGAAGTGAGAAAATTTCCATTTTTCACTGCGCACGAGCGTAGTTCTCTACTATTATACATATGTTATTTGTCTATCTTCCTACAATTTCCTTCCTGTCTTAATGAGCGAAAACCGTCGAGGAGATACTTAGGTAACTACGAGCGAGTTCATTGCTCACTAAGGGATCACCGAGTCAACTGTTACCTCAACCTGTCCTACCACCGATGCACTGACTTTTGCCTCTGTGCGCGTATTTCATCTCACTTATGTCAATGTTAACGCTTTCACTAACCTTTTTTTCGGCGACTTCTTCGTTATCGTTTTATTCCTGTACGATGAATGTGTTTGTTTCAGTTCACACTTACTTTCTATGGGGTTTGGCTCATGAAGAACACATCTCCACTCCCTAAAACCAAGCGTTTTCATGTTGTAGTACACATGATTCGAAATGATGTGTCATGTTTTTTGCATTGTATGTGTTTCTGCTTGGGAATCTGTTAACGTTTATTCGTGCTGACTTTTGTGGTCCATATACCATCAGCACGTAACGGTGTTGCTTCCTTATTTTACCCCTTTCTGTCCGACTGCCGGTCATTCCACTCCAAGGGGATTCCATTTAACGTCTTAGCTGCCTCTCTGATTGAACTTCACTCGGTGCCGCTTCGTTTGTGTTACCACGGTTTCACCAGTCTGTCTTTCTTACTCTGCGTATCACCCTATATTCTCGCTGCTTTCTGGGCGATCTGATTAGTGCGTGACTCTTCCGATCCGCACTTCACTCAATCTATATCATGCGTGTTTATGTACTGACGGCATCAACTAAGATTGATTCACGAAGTAGTACAAAACGCTGTTTGTCTGTGATTTCCGCTTGTGCTCCCATCGACTGCAGTTCTGAATGCGCTACTATACAGTGCTACTAGTTCAGATATCATAGTAGCTGTAGGGAATACGAACGCACAAGTAAGGTGTCTGAACTCTTCAGAAGCTCAGCTAGGTGGTAAGTATGGGATTGAAACCGAACGGACTGACAATGGCGAGCGTCTGTTGCAACTGTGCGCGGAGTACCAGTTGTTTCTTAGTAACGCTGCTTACAGACACATTGGGCGCCGTAGTGCCACTTGGCGTCCTCCTCTAGCTGGCCAGCGATGGACCCAAATTGACCATATTGCCGTACGTTACAGGTGGCATGGTTCCATCCTAGATTTCCGCTCGTACTGGAATACCTGCGTCGACTCTGATCATGCCTTAGTACGCTGTCGTTTCTCCATGAACTTTGCCGGGAGGCGCGCCCAGCGTCTTCCCCGATTGGCAACTGAGAAATTGTCTCAGCTCTCGGTCAGGCAAGCCTATCAAGACGCACTGCGTGCTGAGCTTTCCCTGCCTTATTTTAATGACACTGAGCTTCAGTGGAATGGGATCCCGGCTGATATGCGCAATGTAGGATCATCTGCTTGTGGCACTATCAGTCGTCACCGCACCAGTCATTGGATATCCGAGAGGTCGGTGAACCTGTTAGAATCCAGAGTAAAATTCCCGGATGGATCTGAACACAATGTTATCAAACGGACTATTAGGCACGAAATAACCCGGAGCCTGCGTGCTGACAAAGAAGCTTGCTGGACTAGTCGGGCTCAGGAAACGGAAGACGCGAGGGCAGTAGGCAATTACTGCAAGCTCTTCCAACTTATTCGCACCACTGTCCCAGGAAACCAGGCGTCATTGAAACAGAGACAGCGCGGGTGCACTGATAACAATGAGGAGCGCCGTATGGCTCGTTGGGAGGAAAGCTTTCAAGATCAGTTCTGCTCCCGAACCTATTCCTTCTCAGGTGGTCCAGGACGAGCCGTGACCGGTTAGTTTAAAGGCTCCATCGGAGACTGAGGGCCGAAACACGATCACAACCCTCAATCGTTTTCGTGCTGCTTGCCCGGATTTTCTCCCACCTACTTAAAGATGGATGTAAGGTCCTTTGCAATGCACTGACCTCCCTATTCGTAGGTATCTGGAAGGAAGAGAGTGTCCCGGCTAACTAGAGAGAATCGATTATAGTGGCAATATACAAGAAGGGTAGTCGCACTGACTGTGCTAACCACAGGCGTATTAGCCGAACGCCAGTTGTGACAAAATTATTAGCCCCGAGTATCGTTCGTCGCCTGGTGAAAGATTAGTTGATCTTGAATATGCGGACGATATCGTCTTGCTTTTCGACGATGTTGAGGCGGCACCACCAACCCTGAATAGCCTGTCCAGAGCGGTCCCATTATTTGGTATGCACTTCGCACCTTCAAAGTGCAAAGTGTTGCTGCAGGGCCACCACCCACTTTATGACCCCTTACCCTTGATAATTAGGAACTCGATGTGGTTGATCATTTCACTTATCTTGGCAGCTGCATCATCAATGATGGCCGCATAGAAATTGACATCAGCTCACACGTTGCAAAGGCCAGAGCTGTCTTCTTGAACCTGCGTCATCTTTGGCGACAGAAGGGAGTTTCCCTCCGTCTGAAAGGCCGTGTATACATGGCCACAGTGAAGGCCGTTCTGCTCTATGGTAGTGAGAATTGACCCCTTCGGTCTGAAGATCTGAGACGCCTTCCAGTCTTTGATCATCATTGTCTGCGAAGCATTTCTAGTGTCGGTTGATACCAACGTGTCCGCAACGATGATGTGCGTAGGCGAGTACTAGGTGGTGATAATCATGCTATCTCCCTAGAGCAACAAATAGCACTGAATAAGTTGCGTTAGCTTGGGCACGTGTTACGTATGCCTGATCACCGCTTACCTAGGAGGGCCTTGTTTAGTCTGCCAGGTGTAGGGTGGCGCAAGGCTCGAGGTGGACAGAAGTTGATTTGGCAGCGGGAAATAAAGTCACTGACCACGAGACTGGGTGCCGTTGGTCCGTCTCGCCTTCCGGGCTTTAGTCTACGTGACGCCTTGTGCTTAGCGCAAGACTTTACAGGGCATGGCTCGCATTAGACACCAGTGGTGCGTCTGCTGCCTTCTCCTAGTCGGATTGCCCAGTTAAAGTGTGTTTGGTGCTGAGTTATCTGCGGGATAATGGCTGATTATGACGCGTGGCAGTGAAAGCCTCAAGAAAGCTGTCTCGCCGATGCCGCCTCATCTTTGCACGATAGCCAGCTGTTTGTGACGGTATATTGTTAACACAAGGTGTAGGCACCTTAAGCCTTAACGTTTGCTTAGAGCATTAAGGTTTTTCGGTATATCACTCTTCTCTCCCTCTTATTATTTTTTATTTCATTGATCATCATAGTTCGATGGCATCGGACCATTTGTTAAATTGGCTGATGTACTGCTGTTGTTGGTGATAATGTAACGTCTGCGAGAAAGGGGCTGTCCCGATTTCATCAGCGCCGTTGCGAGGCCCAAAAATTCAAAAGACCCGTTGCTGTTTTTCTACCTCCCTTTGTCTAACCGTGTGTGTATGAGATCTTACCACTGTGCCTAGAGCCGCTTCTCTCGGCTATCCGTATACCTTTCAGTGTCTCTTTGTAGTAATTTCTAGTACGTGTCAAGGTTTTTCCTTACCAGAAACTCTTAATCACTTTCTTTAGATGTGGATGTATCTGATACCACTGATAGCGCACCTTCGCTACCCCATCCATGCTCTCCAACACAAGTGTTGACGGTCCACAACACTTCAGCGCAGCCGCAGCCACGGCAACGTAAGTGGCCCAGTTTCACAATGAAGCGTCCCACTCGCCTTGGATCCACCTCATCGCCCTCTAATTGCAACAGAGAAAGCCCCTCATCCGCAGTCAAATCGAACGCTCAATCACCATGCCCAGTGTTGGACCAGACGCCATCCGGACGAGCGACCAATCAGTTCACTCGTTCGCTATCCGCTGAACGTGGACATTTGGTACGCATGAAGTTGGATCTGAGTCCCAATCCATCGGAATCCAAAAATATTTTAGACACCGATCAAAATGAAACATTCTTCCGAAAATCTTCTTTCAGCGCTAACAGCTCCTTGAAGGGCACCATTCAGGTCCGAGTGAGTTTCTTTTCCTCATTCCTGTTTCATCTATACCGTTGCCTTTTCCTTTGCTTGTTGCTTCAAAGAACTAAGTATTTTCAAGCAAGCGCTTCTTTCTCCCCAGCTGAATATTGTCGCTCAGAATCTGAGTTTCCGGGCTGCGCAAGTAATAACCTTTTCCTCTTCGTTTTGTAGCTGTGACAACAGCACCGAGACTAACATCAGACGAATCATTCTACACAAAAGTGCGGCATGATTCGTCACCAATAGCAACTAAGGGAGCAGATGCAACCCCTTTTTTTAGCTCCTCGAAAGCGCTTTGCTTATCGCTTCCCCAAGTGAACGACACTCCCTTCTTTGTTAGTTCTCGTAATGAATCTGATAGGGACGCAGAATTTAGCAAATGACGCAGATTGTAGGAACACGTACCCAAAAGGGACTTCAATTCTGTCGGACATTTTTACGATAGCCCGACGTGCTTCATCTAACTTAAGTTTTCCACTCTTGGCTTTGATCGCAGTGCTTCCTTCCTCATCCTCGTACATGTCGATCTTTCTGTTTGCTTAATGTGTATGTATTTATTTATATTTGCAATAGTCTACGAATAGATATAGAGCCATAAGAAACCATGGGACTCAAAAGAAGGTGCAGAAATAGTAAAAGAAAACACAACACAACACTTCAAAGATCATGGTTTCGTCAGAGAACGAGATACTATCCGGTTGCCCAAGCCGAAGTAGGGTGTTGACTTAGGGAACACCACCCCGAGCCTTTGGCTGAATAGCCTGCCAGCAAGGCAGCGGAGCGAATTCAGAGAATCGCGCCTATTGGGAGCCGGTGACTGATTGATCAGTTCATGCGCCTTTCGTTTGTTCCTTTGTCAAACAGGGGCCCAGTATTCCCCAGAATTACAGCATAAATGTGCTGGAATACAATGCTTCGCCAGGATGAAGCAAGGGGCAGTGACTTTATTTAGTGGCGAGTCACGTCCGCCCCGTCGCAGTGTTGTTAAACGGACAAATGTGGCTTTTTATAGGGAGAACGCTTGCCGTGCGAAAACCCACCACGTTCTGGAACACTGCCGCCGAATGATTTGCTGGAACGGGAAAATCCCGAACCACCCAACTGGCACCACGAGGAGGTTGTTCGGCAAGCCAGCCTTGTTAAATGTGTGAGCTCTTATACATCTGCCTGCCATCTGGACTCCGTGATAGAAAGATAAACTATGGCTTCCTGGTCTACTTTTGCCCTCTGTTTGTCATCCACATTATTACACCCCTCACCAGTGTGCTGTTCAGTCGCTGATAGCTGAAGCTGTATTATCACCTTTTACTGATGCGTCTTTTCTGTGCATCCCGTCACCGTTTCTGGGTATTCTCATTTTTCAAATTTACATTGTCAATTTATGCCCATAATGTGCGTTCCGTTACCGTCATTAAGCCGGTGGGATTTTCTGGTGGGCTGTGGCGTAGCATGGGGGCAGGGAAGAGCGATCCGCCCCGGGCGGCATGTGACAGGGGACGGTATTTTTAGTACCGTCAATTTTTCGAAACCAAATACAAGGGGCAAACTATCCCGCTAAGTTGATACTCGAATATTTTAATGTTACTTTATTGACCAACACATTTGCGCCACGTTTCTTACCTGTGCGAGCGTTCTTCCCCGCGATGCCCTTACTTTTGTGGCATTGTGGCCACTTTCGCCTCATTTCCATGTGTGCAAAACCATCATCCATTTCATCAAAAACTAATCTACACTTTACGCTAAACCGGTTATGTGGCATTCACGCAAAAATTTTGCCGTCACTGCGGGCGGCAAAATTAGTTGCCACGCCACTGCCGGTGTGGTTGTGTAGCTACCGCTTTGGCAACTGTTACAAGACGCCATTAGTATTTCGTTTCCAGCCTTAAAATGGCCTACCTCTAACCTGTATGGTGAATGCGGAGCTGTTCGCCTCCGCGTGGGTTCCCAAGGTTGCGTATCGAGGGAAGTCTTCCTCTTGTAAGTAACAGAATGAGTTTCCTTTCCTTCGAAGTGAATAAACAATTGCGGGAAATCAGCGGCTGTCTCAGAGCGTGTGGAATGTTGGGGGCAGGTCACCTGGTTTATTGATGGGTCTTGGAGTACTCACCGTGTATCTGGCTTGCGACACGCAACCTCGTTTGAGACCACGGTTTGCTCCGAATCAAACTCCACAATTTCGATCACGTCCGAAGTGGAGAGTTTCGGAGCTACTCTCTTCAAACATTACACTCCACTTTGGTCTCTGTCACAATCTAGACGTACAGTGCTTACTTCAAAAACGAACCGCTGTGTCAAACGCTGCTCGCGGAGCTGTGGTTCAGTGACTAATGTCTAACCGGTCAACCACCGGATGTCTGGTTCTACTCTCACTACTGATCACTTGGTTCTTCCTTAACTACCACAGCACTCGTACAGCGTTGTGTCAAAGCCGGTGTGACTGGCTGTAGGGTCACTGACCACTTTCTTCTGTTACCGGAAATGAGCATATAACGAAGGGTGGCTGACGATCGTTGGCCTCCAGCTTTCGTGTGCACTTTAAGTTCAGAGAAGGCGCATAAGCCACCTGACTGTCAACCATCTTCACCTCTGGCAACGAGTTGGTTTTTCTAGGAAGCATATTCTGGCACTCTGAGCAATCTGTTAACACTTGTATGTCGTGTTTCTCGGGAACTTGCTTACCGGCTCCTGACGGTTCGCGATATACGTTATTCACCCCACTGTCTTGCCGGCCAAGTCTCTACAGGCTGTCTCCAAATAATAATAATAATAATAATAATAATAATAATAATAATGTATCAGCTATACGCCGCAACAGCGCCTCGCTGATGTACGACCACCATCAGTCGCACGCGGGCTGTATATACCGCGAGGACACCCACCAACATCAGACACATCATTCGACGCAACAGTGCGGCATGATTCATCAACAATAGCAACTAAGGGAGCAGATGCAACCTCTTTTTAGTTCACTCAAAGCGCTTTGCTGATCGCTTCTCTAAGTGAACGACACTCCTTTCTTTGTTTGTTCTCGTAATGGATCTGATAGGGTCGCAAAATTTTGCAACTAATGCAGATTGTAGGACCACGTTCCCAAAAATGTTCAGTTCTGTCGCTTTCTCGGGTGTGGCCACTTCTGCGATAGCTCGAATATCTTCGTTGCTTGGGCGAATGCTGCCACGCGATCACATATGTCCCAGGAATTCAATCTCTTAGGGCCCTGAGTTAACATTTATTGCATTCTGACGTAAATCTAGGTCACCGAGTCGCCGAAGGACTATGTGTAACCATACATCATGCTCTTCTTGTGAATGACTGAAGGCACACTTATCGTCCATGTATGAAGCTTGCCCCTCAATACTTGCTAAAGCGTGTCATGAACCTTTGCCATGCAGCGGGCGCAGAACTCAAACCCAGTTATTTACTTATTTATTGGCAACACTTTGTACTGAAATAAGCCATCTGTGGCGAGGAATGCTGTTAGATGCTTCGAGTCGTTGTCCAATGGCATATAGAAGAATGCATTTTCAAATCTAGCCTGGAAAAAACGGTTGCACTAGTTAAACGTACGTTGAGTTCCTCATTGGTTGGCAACATGATTCGCTCTACAATGATCTGCTTATGTAGTCCTTGCAACTAGTTGCATAGCCTGACAGTGCCCACTTTTTAAGGACACCTACCATTAGAAGCACCCACTCAGAGCAGTCGATGTGTTCAATCAAATCAATTGCTCGCATCTCTTGCAGAGCTGCTGCGACAGCTTGACGTTTTGTTAGCCCAATAGGCCTTGATTGACCAATGGCAACAGGTTTTGCATCCTGCTGCAGTGGAATGCGATGCACACCGCATGGAATACGTCCGATGGACTGCTGAAAAAACTTAGGATAACATTTATACCAGTATGTCACGTTGACGGAAGACACAAGCATGCGGTCGAAAGATGGGACTACTTGCAAGGCCACCATAGCGTTTCTTCCAAGTAATGGTCCTCTCTTATTTGAAGAAGTGTACACTGCAACATCCGTAGCTCGCGAATGCAGCTATAAAGTCACGATAACAAATCTCAACTAGGTTAAAGTGTTTCCACTGTAACTCCAAAATGAATGCGAATTGGGCTGTATGGTATGCTGGGATATGTAGCGTTCGTACAGTTGGAAAGTTACAGCGGTAACTGGAAGAGCAGAATCTGGCTTCATTTCACGTTGAACAGCGCCTTCAATGGCAAGGAATGACACAGTACAGACATCAGCGGAAGGAAACTTTGGTTCAAAAACGGATATTGTGAAATTTTTTGAAGTGTTTTCATTAACTTTGGTGGAATAAATGTTTACTTGTGATGGATCACAACATTCCCTTGAGGTGTAGCATCGTTTTTTGTAAGTGCGATGGCTTACGACCCAGAACATCGGGCATAGTGCCCAACTTTCCCACAGTTTTTGAACTTAGGGCTGCGTGCGGAACAAGTTGATAAGTTGGCTTTACGAGAAGCACTTCCACAGCGATAGTAAGATGGCTCCTTTGCCACGGCTGCGTTTGTCAAACAGAACTGTTTCGATTGCAGTGAAATTTCCATTTTCATTCAGGCTAATTCGCAAGCTTGATCCCACGTTAATGTGCAGGTCTTTTCCTGCAACAGGGCCTCACGTATACGATTGTCAGCGATTCCAGTAATCAATTGCTGAGTCAGCATGCAGCCTTCCTTCTTTTTCTGGGGAATGGACGAATAAGCACACGGTCGTATTACACGACTTAACCAGGCAATAAAATCGTTCAAGGGTTTGCCTGTTTCCTGATGCATGCGCAAGAAAACATATCTTGCAGTAAACACATTCATTTGATACTCCACGCACAATCGAGAACTCTGCAAGATTTTTTAACGGATTTACATTCTTGAAAGCCCAAATCATCAAACTATCGTTGCCCCTCATCTTCGAGTAAATGTCTTAGCAGCTTCACTCCGTTTTCCTCATTAAGAGCAGAATGAAAATCGCTGATTA